GAGAGAGAGAGAGAGAGAGAGAGAGAGTTGCGGTTGGAAGGGATGGAAGATTGGTATAAAAAAGAAGTGGTGTTATAATGAATGGTATGGAAGCGGGCGGTGATGGAAATGTTGAGCAAAATGTTTTGAGCCAATAGTAGTGTCGGTGTTGTTATTTCGCAGCCATTGAGTTGTAAGGGAACGAGTGATGGCAAGTCTGGAGAGGACTACACCACTGCTATAGCACTACAGTTGCATAATGTAAGTCAAGCCCTGCGCTCTACTCTCTACCAGATTAGACCATCACATACTGTAAGCCTTATTGTGAGCTAATGTTTCGCTTCTCATCTCCTCATCCGCCGATCCATTGAGTCTTGAGTTGCGATTCCAGTCATTCACTCATTGCTTACAAACAAAACTAAGTTCTCTCAAGAAGTACTGTTTTTTGCTCACATCTCATACATGTGTGGATCGTTTGTGATCCGACTGTTGCTGTGTTGGCCGCAAGGCTTTTAGATTCACTCCAAGATATTCCTTGGGTTCCGAGACTCGACTCAATCAATAAACAAAACTGAAACTAAATCTCCAAAAAAGACATTTGCGATGAAAATTTGTCGTCAATTCTGGCGAACAGTGTTTTAAAAGCGTTTGCAATGACTTTAATGACTGTGTTTTGATTTTAAAGAACCCTAAGTTTTAAAGACTTATTCTAATCGACAATTATCTGATCCAACGAATCGATTGTCTGTTGAATCATTGACTTTGAATGTGTGACAGATATTAATAGTGATGATTGTGGGACATATGACAGATGTGTCGGCCATTCAGATCCCGGGTATGACGAGTGGCCAGTACTCGGGGCCAACGATGGGCACCGGTCTCTCGCCCTCGAGTTGTAATCCACAATCGCCAGCAATGATGCCATCGTTTGGCTTCACTCAAGAACAGGTCGCCTGTGTTTGTGAAGTACTGCAACAATCGGGAAATATTGATAGATTGGGCCGATTCTTGTGGTCATTACCCGCTTGTGAACAGTTGCAGAAGAATGAGTCGGTATTGAAAGCTAAAGCATTGGTAGCCTTTAACAGGTATGCAATACAAACCGTATGTCATATACAGTATAAGTTTGAGCTAAACTGGCTTTCATTGCATTAGTTGCCGGCCTTGCGGTCGACCCATACTTTGCATTCATTTACAATTTCAATGAACGAAACCAAATATTTTCAATCGTTTTTATCTCTTATTTCTCTTGTTATTTATTATTCTCGTTATTAATAGCGATGTCTTGTCTTGAAATTCATAAGTAGTGTTGCATTGAATTGAAAACGAGTGCTGAATTTGGTCGCTAAAAGAAACATTTAAAACATTTAAACATATAAAGTGGTCATTAATATAATGTTTGAAAATCACGATTTAATTTATTTTTTGCTTTTCATGCGAATCAGTGAACAAAAGAATTCAATTCAATTCAATAGTTCATTGATTTAATGAATCGCTTTTTTCAGCACTTCTTTCTCTATTAAGACTATTAATATATTTCATTCAATTTTATATGATATGAAAAATATTAATATTATTTTTTGATCACTTTATTTAATGCGTGACTCTATTCATAGACAGCTTTCAAATCTATTATTTAAAACAAAAACCAAATTCTGATATTATTTATTAAAATAATATTTTCAGTTATGGAGTGTTTAATCTTATCTTTATTTTGATTGAATATTAAATTAGATATGAATAAAAGGTTTGGGAAAGAGTTTTAATCAAATTAATGTCTCAATCGATTGGATGTTTTTTTGTTATAAATAATTGCCAACGGATTCACATATTTTCAAGATTAAAGTTTATTAGCATTTCGTTCAACCATTTAATTATAATTAAACATTTCTTGTGTTTTATTTATATTTTATCACAATATTTAATGAATTGTATGTCTTTTTTGTGTACAATTTATGTTTTCCCATTCAATAGCATAGGTTTGACATCATTTTTAACCTTCGGATTAAAGCAATAAATTTCTTCTCTTTAAATTAAATTGACTTTATTTATGACATTCAATACAAATGTTTTCATTATTTTTTCTTGCGTTTGAATATTTGAGAGAATTTTACTTCATTTATAAGAAATGAAACATTTTTTACACTTTTTCAAACTTTTCTCTAAAAATATTTTTACACTTTAAGCAAAATATAATTTCTCAAAATTAGTTTGAATTATTTTAAGCTGGGAATAAATTAAATTATTTTTGAAACGAATTTTAATTATTTTCTCATTCATTTACTTGTGTTGAATTTCGTTAGAAATAATTTAATATTAAATTTCAAGAATTCAATGTTTTATTAAGAAAAATGTTAAAATGCCTCAAAATTTTTAATTCATTCAATAGTTAACTATCAATAACTTTGTTAAATAGTATTTGTAATTTAAAAACTCATTTCGGAAAAGATTTGTCGATTTGTTAAACACAAAGAAATAAAACAATTATTTATTTAAAAGTTTGTTTCATTAAAATTTGACATAAAAAATAAAATATAGATTAATAGCTAAAACATCGATTTGTATTGATTTTCTTATTGAAAAGCGATTGAAATCAAAGATCTTAAACAAGTTTCAGACGATTTTTATCAATGAAATTTTAAATTACATTTTGTTTAATATGAAAGGCGTCCACACGTTATGCCAAAAGTACAGTGAAATCGGAAATAGTATACAAAATTGTGTCTTTCATTCACAGTCTTATGTGAAATCAATAAAAGGATTGTAAATTTGATTATTTGATTTATATATTAATACATTTATTGTAAACATTTTCAATAATTTCATCAATTTATTTTATTATTATATGTACGGTTACTATACTGTAGCATTGATATAATAGTCTATTATTAATAGATTTATGAACATTAAACAAATAAATAGAATGTTAATTAAGATTTAATTGTCAGATCATATATTAACAAAATCGACCCATTATTAAATGTTATTTGTTATAAAACCTATAATATAAAAAATCATGAATACATTTTGAATTTAATAACTATTTTACATTATTTACAAACATTTTTAGGTGACTTAATATAAATAGTTAGTATTTTTAGTAATTAATTTACTATCGCTTTAAAATTTATTTGAATTACATATCAGTTTAAATTTGAGAAATTAAGAAATTAATCTTAAAATTAATTTTGACGTGTTTTGCATAAGAACTCTAAAACATATATTCAATTTATGATAGCATTTCTCCCAAACATGTATTCAATCAAATTAGATTCATTTAAATAACTTAAATTAAGTTATTCCCAAAAATTGTGTTTTATTTAAATATCGTGTAATTTATATAATGCATTGAATAAATTCATATTTTATGAAATATATTTTTACTCGATATTATATAATGATTATGTAATTCTAGTAATGGTTATAAATAAAACGAAATGTTGAAATGTAAAGTTAGATTATATCTATTTTTACAATGGTTTTCAACACCAGAAATTACTAGTATTTTTATATGATTTGTGAATAACAACTTAACCAATAATAATGTATAATAATTTCATTAATCTTTAATTAAAAATACATATTTAATAAAACATATTTGGAAAATATTAATATTAACGAATGTCTTGAAAAATATTTACATTTTGTTTACTACTTATAGTTAAAGATGACATGAAATTCCTATAAATTATTGGCAAAATATTTGCTATAAATACAACTCAATTGAATTTTACTGATATAAAAGTTTCGTGTTTTAGGTTTCCTTAAAATTAAAAGAATTTACCTTAAAATATAGATAAATCACTACAAGTTATAAAAACTCATTCAAATATCATGTTTAAATAAAATTATAATATTATGAATTCATTTGTTTAGAAACTCATTATAATTAAAGCGATAATATTTTGACAAATCATTAAAAAGCAGAATAAATGAAACAAAAGTCGCCGCAAGACATGATTTAAACAAATTTATATTAATTAAGGATTTCTTAAACGCTATTAATTAAATGATTTCTATAAACGCAATGCCAGTCTAAACGAAACAAAAATACATTAATTTGAAAGACATTTATAACAAAAATTTATATTTTAAATAAACTTTATATATCTATTTAACTTTCAGAGGAAATTTCAAAGACTTGTACAGAATCCTAGAGAGTCACACATTCAGTGTGTCATCTCATCCCAAACTACAGGCCCTTTGGCTCAAAGCTCACTACATTGAGGCCGAGAAACTTCGCGGACGACCATTAGGTGCAGTCGGAAAGTACAGAATCCGACGCAAGTTTCCGCTGCCGCGCACGATATGGGACGGCGAAGAGACCTCTTATTGTTTCAAAGAGAAGTCCCGGAATGTGTTACGCGAATGGTATGCACACAACCCATACCCGTCGCCCCGGGAGAAGAGGGAACTCGCAGAGGGCACAGGACTTACCACAACACAAGGTATGTCTTATACAATATCATCTAATTTGACAATTCATTCAATCGCTAATTCGTTTACTATTTCTTTATTTCTTTTTATATTTTGGTTGATTTTGTTTAGTAAGCAATTGGTTTAAAAATAGGTTCGTTGTTATTATTGTTACTTATATTTATATATAGTTTGAATTACATGTTGTTTATACTGAATCTTAAATTGTTTTATAAATAGGCGACAGAGGGATAGGGCGGCTGAGGCTAAAGATAGGTATGTGTTGAATACATTTCTTATTAGGTTTATTCGTGAAACTGTACTTCAAGTACTGAATCATATAAAATGAAAATAAAATTTTAGAGATCCTAACGATAAATCCAATTCTGGAACCAGTATTAAATCGGGTGCCAAAGGACTGAACGACTCGTCCAATTCTGGCAATGATAGCGGCGACGACTCATCCAATGAAGCGACTTCGTTGCGGACGAGCAGCGGTTCCGATCATTTGATTCATAACATGGTTTCCCATCCGTCGAATACAAGTCATCAACAAATGAATTCTGTGTCATCTATGAGCCAATCGGCGGCGACGGCCACCCAATCAGCTCTATATCACGGCTTTCGACTCAATCATCACCACATGGGAGCGACAGCACATCCACACCATTCCCACCATTTGGCAGATGTGGCTCCGTCTGCACTAGTCATGCACACCAGCGGCTCATCTGCCGAAGCAATGCTTCAGTTGAGTGCAGTGGCGGCCGCGCAGGGACTCGACTACGGGTCCGCTATCGGGGGCTCACATTCACAACTATAGGAGACCAGCAAACTCTCTGACCACACATTCCAACCACACGTTAGGAACTAAACAAACAGTAAATATTGTTTGAGATAATTAATTGATTTATATTATCGTATTATTTACTAATTGTTCGGCTATAAGACAGAGAAAATCAGTGAAAGTCATAAACGTTTCAATTCATTAAAACATTTATTTATTACAAACAATACCAACAATAATAATAAAAATGAATCAGTTTTCCAACTCTTTATTAAAGACTCAATTTTACTGTGAATTAATTTTTTGGTGATTTTTTTGGTGATTTAATATCCCTTTTGTGTAAAATTAAATGAATTGATAAATTAATTAATTAATTATGTAAAACAAACTTAAAATATAAAATATATATCTATATATAAAAATATCAGAGATTTTGTTTTAAAAGTCATTTTAAATATTGAAATACTTTGTCTAAAATGAATGAAGAATTTGTTGTTTAGTAATGAAGCGAATGAGAGATTCTTATGCGAGAAAACACGGCATAACTTAGTCTTAATTTTTAATCTCTATTCAGTGCTATAAATAGCAATTGACTACAGTTTTCATCTCTCGGTTCTGTCATTGAAATACGGAATAATGTGAACCAAACTATAACTACAAATAACAACATTACTTACTATACTATTATGTTTTTCACGTTTATTTGAAAATTGCAAAAATACTTGTTTGCAATACAAGCGTTTAGAAAACAAAAATTCATGTCAATATTGAAATTATAAATTACAATAATTTTAAATTGTTTGAAATACAAACAAAATGTTGGGCCAATTGTTTAGCATATGATAGCTCTTCTGACAGAATTGATTGACAAACGATCGGTTGTATGCATTGGAGTCACACTTTGGCTGAGCCTTGATTTTAAAAACACTGATTATATATAGAGCTACTGGAGCTGCACTTAACACAACCACTAACAGCTCCTAACCTGTAATCAAGGAGGCTTTGAACACAAGACACCCCAACACAACCCAACAGCCCATCGCAATATTATGTTTACTTATGCTCTGACATCAAACATATAATTTAGGCCTACGTTTAAGTTTTAATAACGACCCACTTCTTTGGTGGTCAATACCACATATCCAGCCATTATAGCCATTATTTGGGCCCAACTCCAGGCGCTGTCGCGTTCCGATCACAACATTTGCCAAAAAAATGTTTCTCTTGTTTACAAAAAAATTTTCAAACTTTTTGTTAAAAAAGAAGAAAAATTGATTAGATTTTGGTTGCAATACACGGACTCTCATGTATAGAGAAACGGCTAATATTGCAATGAATTCTTGTATATTTTGGACTTTGAATACATGAAAAGAAATGCATTCATACCGTGAGTTCACCACAATTGAGATGCTTTCAAGAGATAACAAACATTGAAAGTTCTTTGAATGTGTTGTTGCATTGAACGGCACATCCATCCCATAGCCTATTGCCTCCCAAATCCAGCTGCGAGACTGCTTTGCGTCCGCTTTTTTACATTTCAGTTTGATTTTTGCCGCAACAAAACTGCGCTACACTTCCCCTAAAGTCTCCAATATCTATGCATTCGGTGCACATTCTGTACACATTCTGTACATATGCGGCGCTTATTAGGTGAGAGATATTGTAATCCCATATATAAGATAATTTCACTCACAATCAAAAGATTTCTTCCATTTCGATGTATAGTATGTTTGAGGCAAATGAGCTCTAGTCTGATGGTTATCGCAGATACTCTCAACTCACAGGCTTTCCACTCTTTCACAGCTCACTCTATCCTATTCACACTAAACACTACATCAGCTCTCTCTCTCTCTCTCTCTCTCTCTCTCTCTCAATCCTAATTCTTTGATAGAACAGATAATGAATTTGTAGACATTCAAAGCTATGAATTTTGGGTGAACTTTTGGGGCAAAAGAGCACCCGTTTTATGAGAAACAGCTGTAATTGTCCAGACATTCAGTGCTAACAAAACAGTTAACAGTGAAATCATATCCAATATAAGAATCCGAGATTTAAGACTTATTCGTAATTATTTGATAAGAAAGCATAAAATGATTTATTTAAAAAATCTCTAAATGAAATCTAAGCTTTAAATTGTCGATGAATTATGGATTTGAATTTAAAACAGCATTTGAAGGGAAAATTGCAATCATTATAATTACAGTCAATGCCTATCAATGAGTGATATTTCAAATGTTTTGTTTATACATATATTTGTATAAATCAAAATTAATTGATAATGATCCGTCGATGACCTAGGGCATTTCGAGAATTGCTTATGCAGTATACGATGGTATGTTGTGAGAGAAAATTGAAATATTATGAGCATTTTTAAATAAAGACTGCATTTATGCTGGGATTGTAGTTAAAGCACAAGTAATGTCTGTTATGTTATTTCTAATGCATTAGTGTTTTGGCTCTTTTTCTAACTTTAGTTCAACTAAAGTGTGTTTCTTGTCTTGCGTTCCCTTTTCTCTGCAATGCTATCCCTTCTGGGATTACAGACGCAACTCAACCAAACCAATGGATGAAACCCAACACCAGTGCATCCGTTTGCACTCCTCTCACACAAAGTCTTCAAACTCTCTCTCAATTCACAGCGAAAATTCTGAGCCATATTTACATACATATGAAGGCTATTCCCTATTCCTTAGTATCATATCTTTGCCAACACATCTCTGCTCACAGTTTTTTGGCAAACATTTTCATGACAACAGATGAGACACACAGTGGAGGGATTCACAAACCATACCATCAATCCATATCATCCCTCATCATCGACAGCATCACTACTTAGCACTCAATTAGAATTTTGTTTAATTTTTGTATTTTATAATCAATATTTGATTCTTATTAAGAAATTCTTTAAATTTTAATAAAATTGTATTTTTAAAATATGAATCTTTAGTTTTTATTTATTTTAATGCCATTTTTGCCATTCATATGAATATTTGCAGTTTATTAATAGTCACATTGTATTTATACACATTTTAAACACATGTTTGGATACAAATTACAAACCGAAGATTGTCTTTCATAATATTATCATTTATAGCATATTTAAACCAAATTTATTTTGCAATAAAATCCGTAAATATTATTTTTTTAATTATAAATAATATAAATTACTACTGGATACAAAATCAATTTAACAATATACACATAATTAGTTCAGCTCATATAAATTGCAATCAATTTAATTATAAAGTTTGTTTATATGTTTTTAGAAGTGTTTAGTTTTCAATGCATATCAATGCACAACAAATCAGTGATTCTGAAAACCTGACAAAAATAGTCACATTCAGGCTTTACTAGTGTTAATAATAAGACCGGTATAATAGTTAAATTAATCAAACTTGGTATTGTAGAAATGTCAAACTATTATGTGTTTATAAATTATGCAAAAATGTAATAATAAAATGGCAAATTAAACATGAAATTTATATTAATAATAATCAATTAAATGGTTTGTATAGAGAAGAGGATGTTATTCCTATAAAATCTTATCAATTCTTAAGGAAGTGATTGTCAATAATGAATAAAACTGAAGATTATGTCAACACAAGTGGTTAACACTCATCTGATGCTCAATATTAACATTCAGTGAGTATATGAAGTGATAGCGTATTAACCATTAATTATTGTCACACTTTTTGAACAAATCTGGCATTCAGTGAATGAATGCATTCAAAAACGAATTAATTAAAAATGTATTTGCAATGAATCTAAAGGTTAATCACAGACTTGTGTTTGAGTTTGAGGTTAAATAACGTATTGAATCGTATGTTTGATTCAAAGATTTGAGTTTTAAATCATTATTAATGGCTTTGAAGTGTGTTTCGACTGTTTTTTACAAATGAAAAACTAATCTCTGTTTCACACAAAATACAAGATCTCATTCATTGATCAAAATTGAGTTCTTTTACACTTAATTACACTTTTATGCAAATCTTGAAACATATTTACACTTAAATTCAAAAACGATTTCATTTTTGAATAATAATAATTACATTTTGTGATTCATTAATACATATATTTATAAAAATTGTTTGAAATTTAAAGAAGAAAATTGCAATTTTAATGATTAAACATTGAGTTTGAAAGCTGTCGGAGCGGTAAGAGGTGTAAGTTATTTAAGTTGAGCTTTAGTACCGGTGCTGTAAATAGTGTTTTATGAGGTAAATATTTGAGAGAGAATTGATTAACATTTATGGCATACATGAGACCAATGAATATCATGAATTAAAGAGAGAGAGAGAGAGAGAGAGAGAGAGAGAGAGAGAGAAATATAAAGAAGAGAAAGAAAAACTAATTTATAAAACGGGTGGCATTTCATGTAATAAGCGATGTATTACTAATGAGAGAGTCTTTATCTTATACGTTATCCAACAAATTAGACGCATTGGAGAGTTGGTTAACAAAGTTTTGAGTATGTGTTGGATGTGTTGGATATGTTGGGGTGGAGATTGAAGTTGAAGTGCAACTGTAAATGAATGAAACAAAACCATACATACGATGCCCTCAGAAGCTTGAAGGTGTCCAACAGCGGCGGCCAACAGCTAAACACAAAAACTCGTTTATTGCAAATCTTGTTTTCTGTCACGTCTTGTGATTTATTAAGTCTCAAAATTGTAATCGAATAGCTCTATACCTATACATGTATTTATACTTTATATACAATGTATACATATATACATTGATATACACGAGTTAGTGTAGTCCCGACCACTCCAGGCCTCACCGCTATAACCATATCAGCGCTCTTTTATGAACACTAAATGCATATTACATTTACTGCTGTGATTCGGGTGTACCTCAAAACCAGACCTCAAACTATACCTCAAACTATACCTCAAACCAGACCTCAACTATTCTACTCAACCATTTATAACAAGAAAATTTAAAACTAAGAAAAAACATACAATTTTTAAATTCATTTTTCTTCTCTTTTCCTTTGACTCATCCCTCCTCTCCAGACGTAAAGATATTGTGTATACCATCTCTACGTTCAGTATTTATAGTACAGTATTATTATTGTATTATCTGTTCCTTTATATGTTGTGTAGTTTCAAGTTTTCCATTCATTATATTTTATGTAACTTAAGACTACAACAGAAGTTTTAAGTAAATTTTATTCCAATCATTAGTATTATTATTGTCTGAATAGTTCCAAAAATATAAATTTCATTATCGTT